GTCACATGCACGCGGCTCCCACCTTGTTCTCCGTGGCATGTTTCTCCTTCTCCACCTTGGCCAGTGTCAGCTCCAGGTCGTCTATGTCTTTCTTGAGCTCGGAGCATTCATCCTCCAGCTTCCTCTTCTTGGCCGTCAGCTCGGCGTTGATCTCCTCCTCGTCCTCAGCCCTCTCTGTCACCTCTTTGATCTTGGCCTCCAGCTGGATCTTATTTTTAATCAGTTGCTCACATCTTTCTTCTGCGTCAGCCAAGGCATCGGCTTCCTGTGGAGAGGGAGATTAAGAGCTGTAGGGAGATGGTGCCTTATCTTGAACTTTGTCTTTGCACAACATAGACGTGTTTATCAAATACTGATAACTTTTTCAGTATGGGCTATAACATTGAATTTAACTGAACATTACCTGGCTTGAGGAAATGCAGCTAATTGGAAGTGACGTGTGACTATAGATTTAGAAGCAGACTAGTGTGAAAAATGATCGAATTACAGCCATCAGTAATTTTAAAATATAGGATGTAGAAGAGTGGGAACACTTCTAGAGAAAGAGGAAGCCGGGGTTCTTGTCCCAATATTGCCTGTAGATGTAAGACCCTGGGCAAAATCCTGTCCTATTGTGAGTCTCAGTGTCCTCATAAGGGGGTTGAAATTGAATTGTTGCTAAAAGGTTTCCAACTGTAAATATCCCCAAATCTTAATTCACTCAGTTGGTTAGTTTTGGTTTGGGCCATTTTTAACCACCCTCAACTAACTAGTTCCTAGATTGACTTAGAAAAGATAAGCACGAGAGAGCATACTTAAACACTTTTATGCCCCTGGCTGTATGCCCTGGTAGCAATTTTATGTAGCCGAACCCTTCTGGCGAAGCAGTGTTTTCATTGACCAGCCTTCCACTGCAGTACTGTCCTTCCCTCAAAGCATGATCTGTTCGCCTCTAAATAAAACTTCAGAATCTGTAAGACCATGTGGTTCTGAGAAATTGCCTACCTCCAAGACGTTTTCACGAGGAGCCAAATGCAAATCTGTTGGATCACTAATTTACTAGATTACTCTGGACTGAAGAGGTTCTTTAATTTCCCAGTGCCCGTTTGGTTAATAGCTTTAACGTTTCAATGTGTAATTGGTGTAAATGGATGATAAGAGGTGTTTCCCGGGGTCCCCTTTCTTTTCTTTTTGCTGGTGATGCGTTCAATAAATACGTATGGCTGATATGAAGCGTCTGTGCTTGCTTATGGAAAGATGTAACTCGCATATAAGTAAAGCTACCAGAGGGAAACGTTTGAATAGCTTAAGACTTCAGGGATACTTTCCCTCGTGAGTTTATTGACATCGTTAGGCTTGTTGAATGGGGGCTTTGGGGGTTTTTTTTTGTTGGGGTTTTGGGGCCGGCCTTCCCGGCCCCCTTCTTGCCGGTTCCTTCTTGGGCGGGGCCCGTTTTCGTTTGCCTTTTTGGGTTCGGGCGTTGGGTTTGTTTTTTTGTTTTTTGACCCGTTCTTCGGGGGGTTCGGGATTCCGGGTTTTTTTTCAAGGGAGGATTCCCGGGGTTGGCCTTTTTTGTTGTTTCGTTTCAATTAACCTTGGGGCCTTTTTCGTGTTCCTTTTTTGGGTTTTTGGAAGGGGGTTGGCAGTTGTTAAAGGATGCCCCCTCTGTTGAGTTTCAACAAAATCTAATAGACTTGCATCAGGAAAATGATGCTTAAAAGGATGGGCTGAGGCAGCGGCAAATTGTTAAACTATGGCTAAGATACGGCAGCTTTGATCTTAAACTTCCCGAATGGCTAGCACATATTGTGGCACTGTTGAATACATCCTTCACTATTGCCTTCTTCCCTGGGAACTTGAAAATAACTGTTCCTTACATTCTTTATCCTAGCAACCTTATCGGGCCTGCCCTTGGGGTTTTTGAGACTGTAACTCCTTATGGATATAAAAGCCTCCGTGTTCTTTTGTGGCGTGGCTAGTGGTTTTGAACTGCTGACCTCGTGATTTGTGGCCCAATGTGTAACCCACGATGCCACCAGGACTGATAGCGAGTTTTGCTTTCACTTTCTTTCTAGAACGTTTGAAAGAGCATTAAATACTAAAATAATAATAAGAATTTGAGATTGTTTTTGAAGGAAAGGACTTTGGTAAATTCAAAACAAGTTGGGCTTGTTCTAGAACGCCCTCAGTCACAGGAATCCTGCGCATAGCGTACTCACAGACTGAACCTGGAGTTGCAGGTCGTTTTTCTCTTTTAAGAGAGTGACCATCTTTTCCTCCAGCTCCTTCCGTTTGGCCTCTGACTTGGCGAGCTCTTCTTTGGTTTTGGCAAACTCCTCCTTCATCATGGCCATCTCCTTCTCGGTCTCTGCGCTCTTCAGCAGGGGCTTGATCTTGAAGAACAGCTTCATCCAGGGCCAGTGCTTGACGTTCATGAAGGCGCGGACGTTGTACTGGATGCAGAACAGGGCTTCCCTGAAAAGCCACAAAAATGTCAGTGTCGATTCTTCTGCGTAGACACCTTACACATAGAATTCCTTTTAATGACCACCTGCCACATACTAAAATAACTCTAATTCCGTATCTGTTGTTGTTGTTAGCTACCACAACGTTGGTTCCGACTCAGTGGCCCTAGGTACAAATGGTCCCGCACCATCCTTGCAATTGTTATTTGCAAATCCTTGCAAATGTTATTTGACATTGTTTTGCTGCGAGGCCTGATGTGTTCAGTGTCTGAACGTGTTCCATTGCTATGCATAAGCTTTTCAGCGGCCAATCCCTCAGAAGTAGACAGTCTACTCCATCTTCATAGTCGGTGCCTAGTTTGGAAGCTCTGCTACAACCGGTTCACTTTGTGTGACTCTGTTGGTGTTTGAAATACCAGTGACCCAGCGACCAGTATCACAGCAACGCACAAGCTATTGTAATACAACAAAACTGACAGACAAGTGGTGGGTGTCTGCGATAGGCATGCATTTATACACATACACACAAACATACGTAGTATGATCACATTCACACTCATAGTCAGCGGCCTGTAGTAAAGCCGCTTTGCTGATATGTGCTACTCATGTTGAATAGTGCTGTGTCCTCACGTCCCTGTCAAATGATATCAGGGGGTGGATAATTTGACCGTAAGAACAGCGTAGACCATTTGTAAGCTCTTTTGGTAGACATATTCCAATATTGGTGATTTGGGAGTGGAAGTGGCAGTGTATGTTGATTGTGCTGGTCGGCCATCCACATAACACGTGAACTGTGCAGTGGCTGTAGGTTGCCTTGCCTTGCTCTCGCTTATCAGCTCTTCCTTGAAGTCTCACCTCTTATTTTGTTCACCAGTATATTGGTGAACAATAAGTCTCACCTCTTATTTTGTTCATCAACTTTCTAAACTTCTGTGGTCAGTTCCTTCAGCCTATTATCAAAGTCTTTTTAAGTTTCTTGGTTTTACTTACACAGCTAGATTGTTAACACCCTCAGGGTATTCAGTGTGGTTTGTGTTTCTCTACTTTCAGAATTTGTTTTCGTAAACACAATTTTTAATTAGTAATAAAAGATACCCCTGACGCCGATGGTAACCAGAGCTAGTTAAGGTTTGATAATCTGATCCCAATGTGTATGTCTCATCAGGCTTGTTAAAATGGAAATTCTATTTCTGTAGGTCCAACTTGATAAGAGCTATAAGTCTCAGATGGTGGTTGGAAAGACACAAGCCATGCTGATAGGTAGCAAAGTCTTGGGACATTTATAATGCAGTACCCAAAAAGTACAGATGAGCAAACTAATTGAAAATTGTGTGTTGTCAGCCCAACTTGACCTTTGGTTACCATGTATGAAGGAGGAAGTTTCTACCTAGGGGGCATTGAGTTTATGTTAATGGTGGTGGAATAACGTGGAAAAGGATACCAATAATGGTGGTACAACATGAAGAGTATATAATCAATGACACTGAATTACACACGTAGAAGTTGTTGAGTTGGAGGATGTTTTGTTGTGTATATCTTTGCCACAATTAAAAAATAATTACACAAATAACAATGAGTACAAGAAAGAAGCAGACATTCTATAATTGACTGTACAACTCATCTTGATATTATTGACTTAGTGGATTGTATACTATGTGGGTGAAGTACCAATAAAACTGTTAAAAGGCAACACCACCAGAAAATGTGCTGATGGGAGGAGAATGCGGCAGTATTGGGCAGAGAGAGCTGGGTGAGGTTAATTAAGGAAAAGGGTACTGGAAGTTTTGAATGGAGAACCAGATAAATTAGAAGGAAGGGAGAGTGCTTGTGCACATATGAGGTTAGGAGAGAGCATATTGTTTAGCCTGGCTGGAAACGGCTATAAGGTTGGAAATGATGAAGGAGGAAGGGGATAGAAAGAGCCTTGACAATCAGGTAAAGAACCTCTGACAACCTTAACAATCAGGCAAGGCAACTTGGATGGGACCATGAAGACCACGGGGAGCCAAGAGCTGAGAGTGGCATAAAGAAAATAGTGTTTGCTGCAAATGATTCCTGCAGTTGTGTAGCATCTGGATGGAGAAGGGAGAAATTGGTGGTGGGAGAGAAGCTAGTTGTGTTGGGGCTAAGCTAAGACTGACATACAACTGCAAGGGAAATTTCTGAACTTTGTGAGCCTCGTATATTTAGCCCCAGATTCTAGGTTCATGAATGAGGAAGGCTGAGGGAGAGTCCCCAGGGGACCCCGCTAAGCCCGATCTTCCGTATGGTTGTTACCTTCTTTGTAACATCTTCTGGTATTCGACCCTCATTAGGAATCCCCGACAGACTGCTTGAGTTCTTGTTATAATCTGGGCCAATTTTTCATCTCTCATTTCTTCCAGGAGGCCCAGGAGGCCAGCTTTGAAGAACACCTGGACAAACGAAGAGTCGCCAAATCATCCCCATACTACAAGGGACCCTGAAATGGCCAAAGGTACTTAGATCAGGTGTAAATAAATAATTGCTATACCTTAGTGTGTCCAAATTTGTATTGGGTGTGATCTATATCAATAGAGGCAAGTAGCTTCTCCGATGCTTTCTTGCTGTCAATGAACTGTCCCTCCGGAATAGCGCTGGCGTTTAATACCTTGTATCTGTTTAGTTAAAGGAAGGAAGGAAGGAAGGAAGGAAGGACGGACGGAAGGAAGGAAGGAAGGAAGGAAGGAAGGAAGGAAGGAAGGAAGGAAGGGGAAGGATCAGGAAGGTATGATTACATATGGCAACCCAATGACATCAGAAGAAAGCATTGATGAAAACCTAAGGGACAAAGTAAAAGTGGAAAATTCGAGCATCCCTTCAGGTCAGATAGTAAAACAGTATGATTTACTGTGATTGAATGCATGCCTTCTTCTAGATTTAGGAAGTGACACCTCTGTTTTTGAACCTGTTACCCTATCCTGCTTCCAGAAGAATATAGTACTCGGCTTCATAAACTCAGATAAATAAATAAATGAATTCACTGCCATCGAGTCGATTCTGATTCACAGGGACCGAGAGGACAGGATAGAACTGCCCCTGTGGGTTTATGAGGATTTCAGGGGATCACCACTCAGCTGCCAGGGCTCCTGGAACAGAACAGACGGATGAACACAGGAAAAGCGATCAAACATGCATGGCATTTTGTGCAATACAAGGAGACACTGACCTTTGTTTAAAATCACCATACAGGATCCTGCTTGGGAAGCCTTTCCTGCAGATCCTGATGCCTTCAAGCACGCCATTACACCTCAGCTGATGCAGGACAAGTGCATGCTCCATGGCCCCTATAAACATACCAGAGTGCTTGCTGGTGGGCACGGAGTGTTAAAATGTGTACCTGCTGGACATTTGCATGCTCTTGTGTCTTACCGGGAGTCTTGGTCTCATTGGGGATGATGCACCGCACGAAGTGGGGGTGAGTGCTTCTCAAGTTGGTCATCAGCTTGTTCAAGTTCTCCTAGAAACCAAGCGGAAGGGATTTTATTATGGGAAAGTTCTATACTTGGCCAAAAAATTAGAGTTAGTGTGGAATTAACCTGGGTGCACGCTAAACAATTCGGCACAAGGCATTTTGTGTTTATTACTGTGTGCTGTCAAATCCATTCCAACGCATAACTAGAGTGTAGGGTTTCTTGGGCAGTGATCTTTACGGGAGCAGATTGGTGGGTTCGAACTGCAGACCTTTTGGCTTGCAGCTGAATACTTTAACCACAATGCCACCAAGGCTCCTGGGAGCAAACATGCAAGGCAATTCTGTCTTTTGTGGTCTTGAGAATTCTAGCCTGCCAAATAATCCAAGGGCCAAAGTTCTGGGAAGAAATGCTTGTCTCCAAGGTATTCCCTTTTAAAATCCAGGAGCCAGCGTATAAACACCTTCAGTAGGCTTGTACAGAGCCGTGTTCTGCACTAGGAATCACATGGTAAATCAAAAGCCTCGGCTCTGCCTCCAACAAGCTGCCCGACACTATAAAATCTCTTTCCTCTCTCTGGGCTTCGTCGGAAAATAGGTGAGATAATCTCTAAGGCCTTGTCCATCTCACTCAGAGCTAACAATGTTTACAGTGGTATTTTTACAGCAGTAACCCAGGGTAGCAAACTTCCAATTTACCATTCCTTTCTCGGGTTTATTATTCCCTGAGATCAATAACTTCTTGTTTATCCTTGTCTTTTTCTGCTTTGTTTTTCAAAGGCTAAAATAGTGAGATAACATAATCCATATGGACAGACGTCGTGTGTCTGAAAACCATCCACAATCTGAGGCTTATGGTGAGAGGAGGGAGTTATTCCAGAAAGAGTGTGATGGGTAGAGGGTGATATTTTCTTGAATTATAGAAAATTCACATATAAATATTTTTTCAGTATTTCTAAGGTTTATTCTTTGAGAAGGCAGATTTTTTTTTCCGTTAGCCATTAGGAAACAAATAGCATAAGCGGTGTGAATGTCTAATTTTGAAAACACACACAAGGGCAAACTGATGAAAGAATTCTATCTAGTGAGAATCCTGCAAATTGTCAGTGAAGAAGAAAATAGCATTTCATTTTTCACAGAACTGAGACTAAGCCATACAAATTCCGATAGAGCACATCAGCTACAGAAGAAAATCACATTCTTTTGTAATAAAATTATTGTTATGTTAATCCCAAGTGACATCTTCTAGTTTAATCACTCACCTAAACCACTAGGCTTGACTTCAGGCTATTGAAGAAACCTAAATCCACTCACAGAGAAGCAACCTGTGTTGTATGGCAGCAGGTCCAAAAAGTACATCTCAGGCTCACTCTTCAAAAAAACTCAAGATCATTTTTAAAGGACTTTAGTGCAATAAAGAGAGAGGGTAGGACCTTCTCTGGGGACAGCTTTGGCCTCCAGCTCTGTTTCTTTAAGATCCAGCCTAATTATGTTAACAGAAGAGCGGCTCAGGACATTTTGGCATTCTTGAATTGATTGTTCTATGTTGTTGTTCTTTGCTATTGAATTGATTCTGACGCATATGGACCCCATGCGTGCAGAGCAGAAGTGCTTCTTAGGATTTTTAAGCAGACTTCCAGCCTACCTTCCAAGACACCCCTGGGTGGGTTTGAACCCCCAACCTTTCTGTTAGTAGTCTCATGCTAAACTATATGTGCCACCTAGAGGCTCCTCATCAATATGAAGGGGCTTCAAAAAGTTTGTGGGAAAGTGGAATTAAAACGTCCTGGCATTTTATCCTACAAACTTTTTGATGTTTCCACATAGATTAGATCATCATAATAAAGAGTTCCCGAGGGGCCACAAATGGTTTGCACTGGACTGCTAACCCAAAGGTTGGCAGTTCAAACCCAGGCAGGGATGCCACAGAAAGCACCCCTGACTATCTGCTTCTGTTGTAGCAATAGCCAAGAAAACCTTAAAGAGAAGCTCTCCCCCATAACATGTGGGGTTGCCAAGAGTGAATCAACTTGTCAGCAACGAATAGGAACAACAGAATTGAAATCTACTCAGTCCAGGCAGGCATCGTGAACAGTAACTACAGCCACAACCACAATAATAGCAATGGATGTAGCAGCCTTCCCTATCGGAGTAGCACTCCTTTGGGTCAACTGTGATGAGAGGAGTGAACATTTAAAATGACCTCTGTTAACACTTCCTTCCCTCCTAACTTGGTCGACAGACAATCATTATGAAAACTCATAGAAGCAGACTCGGGTTTTCTAATTAAATGTGTACTTTACCCTGAAGAGAGCAGACACCGTCTGGAATGAAGAGCCCTTCTTCTTAGCGCCTTTCTTTGCACCACTGTCTGAGGTAAAAAGCAAGCCCATTAATCAGAGTGGACTTCTGAAGGCTGGCCTGCTGCGTGGTCATTCTCTAGGAATGGATTTAGCTTAGGTTAAGGATGTAGACAGTACCTGCTTCAGCACTGGCATACGTGGAGAAGAGACTGGCCAGAGTCTTCATTGCAGATTTCCGGTACAACCCGACCACCGTGTCATTCAGGGGGTCCTTGTTCTTGTCCAGCCAGCCGGTGATGTTGTAGTCCACTGTGCCGGCATAGTGGATCAGCGCAAAGTGGGCCTCGGCCCTGCCCTTCACCACCTTGGGCTTCTGGAAGTTGTTGGACTTGCCCAGGTGCTGGTCGTACAGCTTGTTCTTGAAGGAGGTGTCCGTGGCCTTGGGGAACATGCACTCCTCCTCCAGGATGGAGAAGATGCCCAGCGGCTGAATTTAGAAAAGTAGACAATGGGCTTCAGCCTAGCTTCTCACAAGATATTAGCTTCAGCCTAGCTAATATCTCACAAGATATTAGCACGTTGACTGGCATTTGATTAAAGGTTGAGGGCCCCCAATTCATGATGGTTACGACCCAACACAGAGTCACCGCTCAAAGAAATACTTTTGTTATTTCTAGAGTGACTTTTCCATCATTCCTTCCCATTCATCTCCTAGCATCATTTTTAATGAAAAGAATAATAGAATATAAATGCCAAATGTATTTATCTCAGATTTTTTCCTATTAAGTGAATTAATTTGTTGTCAAGATTTTATTTTGCTACAAAATGACTTACAGACTTAGAATGTTGATTCTATATGCAATAATTTAACAACCAAGAACAAACGACCTAAACCATTCAGGGTGTTGTGTGTATTTCGTCTCTTACAGATGGATTAGGAAGACGCACAAGCAATTTGATTACTGACTTCTGAACAGATTCACTATCCTATAAGGTCTGTGCATTAATTTTTATTTAGAAGAAAGTTTTATTTCTATTGCGGTCGTCTCGGATTATAATGGAGAGAAGCTTAGAACTAACCAGGCCATACGTCTAGTGAAGCAGAACATTCAGCAGAGTTTCCTGTGGATTTGAGTCAGTGTGGGGACAAAAGGGAGCAGAACTCAGCCCTCTGTGATCTCTCGTGTAAATATTGCAAAGTGGAGATCATTTCCAAATTGGAAAATGTAACTTTTCTAATATGTTCTGATTACAAAAGCTTTTTGAGATTGCAATAATACTTCCTTTCGTTGGAAGTCATGCGCACCTTCTCGATGAGCTCGATGCAGGCAGCCAGGTCCATCCCGAAGTCGATGAAGGTCCACTCGATGCCCTCCTTCTTGTACTCCTCCTGCTCCAGCACGAACATGTGGTGGTTGAAGAACTGCTGCAGCTTCTCGTTGGTGAAGTTGATGCACAGCTGCTCCAGGCTGTTGAACTGGTGTTTTAAACACCGAAGCGTTTGAGTGAACGGGGACAGTCCATCGGGAGGGTAGCAAAGAAGACACGAGGAGAGAATGCTCTGAGGGCCACTTGTTTCCCCAGACAACTCACATCAAAGATCTCGAAGCCAGCGATGTCCAGCACCCCGATGAAGTACTGCCTGGGCTGCTTGGTGTCCAGCTGCTGGTTGATGCGGGTGACCATCCACAGGAACATCTTCTCGTAGACGGCTTTGCCCAGAGCACCCACTGCGTTGTACACCTTCACACACAGAGTAGTGCTGGTTAGCGTTCTTCAAGACATGTCATGAAGAATTTGCATTGAGCATGGCTCAGTGAAGTTCTCCATGTACCTGCTGCACAGTCTGACCCTTGGTGACGTACTCGTTGCCGACCTTCACCCTGGGGTAGCAGAGGGCTTTGAGCAGGTCAGCAGAGTTCAGACTCTGGAGATAGGCTGCCTTGTCAGCAACTGCAGAGACACAATTCAAAACATGAAAGATAGTGATGGTCCGCCTCTCTAACCTTATCTTTTTGTGTCTTCTAATCCAACTTCTTTATTAATAAATAAGGGATCTCAAGTAATTCCATAGATCAAATGAGACTCTGTACACAATAGAACCTATAATTTCCACTAGACGGTTGCTTATATTGACTGGTTTTGGGGGGTATTATTACAAGTGGTTTTTGAGAAAGTCATCCACAAAAAGCATATGTACAGTACTTATTGCAAAAGTCCTTCCTCTTAAGACACATGAGACAGAGTTTGAGTGATAACACACACATATCTTAATATTCACTGCTCCTGAGGGATAAAAGAGTATTTGCATATCAATCTCAGTTTTTCCATTCATAACTTAATCTTACTGGATTAGTTTCCTTATTGGATTACGTGTCATTTTCGAAAAACGTGTCTTTTAGACTTTCTGGATTGGCCTTTGTTGTTGCTCCTTGCCCTCAAGTCTGTGTGACTCATAATGACCGTGTGTATAACAGGATGAGACATACATGGCCCCATGTTGGTACATCTTCATGATCATTGGTATGGATGAGTTCATTGTTGAGGCTATTGTATTAATCCCTGGCATCAAGAGCGATAACCCCCACAGAGCTTCTTTCAAAAATTCTGGCGGTGACTATGATGTACATGCTATGTGCCAGGTGTGCAAGGCACACTCAAAAGTTAAACCACAGAGGGAGAATAAAAAGCTGGCGCTGTCGCAAGTGACGTCAAGGAACAGATACATTTAGCTTTCCATGGTAGATCCTGTACATGGTATGCTCTTTTTGTGTGTAGAACATATGGTTTTCCTTCTGTGGTTAGGCACATAGCAACAGTTAAGTGTCCTGGAATTCCCATTCTTCTCAAGGCTATTATAGTTTGTTATGATCCACATAGTGGAATGTCTTTGCCTAGTCAATGAAACACAAGTAAACATCTTTCTGGTGTTCTCTGATTTCAGCCAAGATCCATCTGACATCAGCAGTGATAACACTTGTTTCACATGCTCATTTGGATCCAGCCTGAACCTTTGGCAGCTCCCTCAATGTACTGCTGCTACTCTTGTTGGATGGTATTCAGCAAAATTTTACATCAGTGATATTGCTCTATAGTTTGACCACTCTTTTGAGTCACCTCTCTTTGGAATGGGTACAAATACACATCTCTTCTAGTCTGTTGACTAAGTCGCTGTTTTCCAAATTTCCTAGTATAGATGGAAGAGGGCTTCCAGTGCTTCATCAGCTTGTTCATACATTTCAATCGACACGCCATCAGTTCCTGGAGTCTTGATTTTGGATAATGCTTTCAGTGCAGTTTGAATTTCTTCCTTCATTACCATTGGTTCTTGCTCATACGCTACTTCTTGAAATGGTTGAATGCCGACCTTCCCCCCAGCCCCCACAATGACTCTGTATTCTTTCCTTCTTTTTTGCATGCTTCCTGCATCATTCAATATTTTGCCCATAGAATCTTGCAATATGTCAACCCACGGCTTGAGTTTTTTCTCGAGTTCTTTCAGTCTAAGATCTGTTGAACATTGACTTCCCTTTTGGTTTTCTAACTCTAGATCTACTCACTTTTTGTTATACTCTTTTACTTTGTTTTCTTGAGCTATTTTTGAAACTTTCTGTTTAGCTCTTGGGCTTCATGATTTCTTCCACGTGCCTTAGTGATTCTACAATTAAGAGCAAACTTCAGTGTCTCTTCTAAGATCCACTTTGCTCTTTCTTTCCTGTTTTTAGTGACCTTTTGCTTTCTTCATGTATGATGTTCTTGATGTCATTCCACAGTTCATCAGGCCTTTCTTTCTTAGTTTCTTTTCTATCGTACTTGTTGCTATATTGTCTACAGGCTTATATTTGGCAACCCACACTGATTCGCAGATTTTTTAAGGACATCCTTTGGCCTTAGTTCTATGTTGATCAGCTCCTATATTGCTAGCTACTAGGTTTTTCTAATGTGTGAAAGCAGACAAAGTTATCCTAGAACCTATCTACCATTGCTAAATAAAAGCAGGGACACTCTTCCATTATTCTATTGCATGCTTTCTCCAATTATCTAGCCCTCGGCTGTGAGTCTTAGATATCTTCATATACTTTCCTATTTGGGTTCATTTTAACTTATTTGTACTGCATAACAATAATGAAGACAGGGAGATATGAGGAAGGAAAGGCATGGAGAAGGCACACAATGTGATTTTCCTTGGTTCACAAATCCTAGGGCTGTCGCTGGGCGTTCACAACTTCTTTGGGAGCAATGCACATGGATGGATGAGTGGACGGGTAGCTAAGTGAACGTAGGGGTAGATGGATAGATAGATGTGCAGATATTTCTGCATGAACATTTCTGTATAGAAGGAATATGGAGAGATAATGGTGGAGTAAACAAACTAATGAGAACGTTTTTATTTTGTAGATTGTCTTGTTGCATTTATTATATCGTTTGTGTGTGGTATATGTGTGTGTGTGTGTGCTCTTTAGGAGATGGTATTAAAAATGACTGTGTGTGTGTGGAAGAGAGATAGAGAGAGAGAGAGACAGATAGAGAGATTCTCTGATTCAAACTCAGATGGAGGTCGTTTGGTACCTTCGGTGCCATCTGGCTCAGCTTGCTCCTCGCGTTGCTTTTGTTTGAACTTCATGTTCCCGTAGTGCATCACGGCCCCCGTGAGCTTATAGATGGACACTTTCTCTTCAGGACTAAATCCCAAGATGTCAATGGCACTCTACCAACCAGGAGAAAGGATAGGACCAAAGTGAGAGTGGAAGAGACTAACTTTTAGAAGACTATCTAGTGTATCTTAATATAAACACATGTACAGCGGGACTGCTATTGTCATTCTCATCTGTAATGGGCTTTTGAAAATGTGCAGGGGTCTGACTTACATCGGTGGCCATCAGCTCCTCCTGGTCATCAATGCTGGGCACTGTGATCTCTCCCTGACTTATGAAGGCATAGTCATACGGGTTGGTGGTGATCAGGAGCATTTCTGGGAACATAGAATTCAGAAGGTTTTATGTCTTACTTTAGACATTGTTAATACCATATTAATTCTCGTCTGTGAAGTGAAGTTTGTTCTCACCAATTAAATCTGGCTTCTTATTGGACGTGATCTGATAAAAAATATGGTAGCTTCTTTCTGCCTTTAGCTGGAAAGTAACTCTAGACTTTTCTAGCAGATCTGAAAAGAGAGACAGCCAACCAGGAAATCTATCAATGCTACTAAGATAGTAAATGAACCTCGACATCTTTGGGGGTGTTGGGTGGGTTTCATTGAGTACCACTGAAATTTCATCTTGATGACTTCTTGGTGCCACAAATTAGAATTGCAAATACATATGGCAATTGCCCATGGCTCTCACCTTCCTTAAAGCATTCCTACTGTAGAGCCAATTAGCTTCAGATGGAGGATCCTTGGCCTTAGCTTAAGAATTGATTGCTAACAATCCCTTCTTGTTGGTTCATTTTAAGCTCATGCTATGATGGAGTGGCTACTTCGGTGACATCTACCAAGGCTCAAGGCAAGAGTAGTCACAGAGATGTTTTGTGAACCCATAGGTAACCCATGGAAACCTATAGGTAACCCCAA